AATTTCAGAATTTCCAGTTTTAGCAAACTACTTACTCTTTTTTCTAAAGATTCGAAAGAATTTTGCGAAAAATTATGAAATACATTTTATTAGAATACTCGCCTGCTTCGTCCCATTGTAAAAAGTTTCGAAATCTCTCCAGTCTCCAATTTGGGACAAGAATCAAATAATTTTTTTTTAAAGATTTTAAAAAATCACCTTGTATAATCCAGCATCTGACTATCGATACTCGCGCTAGATAACCTCAATCAATGACGAGGTCAGAAAAGATGCTTAAACTTATGCGAAAAACACGATTATTATGCATATTAGCGACAATTTTGCATGTAGAGTTAATACCTAAAACACAAATTAGCAGCAAATCGCAACGGACAACCTCATTTTCGGGCATAAATACGTGGTTTTGGAAAATCGAATTTCAAATGTTTATGGACCGTCCAGGATGTTTTTTTTCTTTTACTGAGAGGGCTTAATTTGAAGCGTTCTTGAAGGTAAGAATAGACAAAACTCCAAATTCGGAGGGACTCCAACGACAGGAGCACTATTTGGTCTGCATATAAAAAAAATTAACTAAGTCTAGTAGTAGAATGATTTTAAGTGATGCTACCTAGACTAGATGTAAAATAAAATTTTAAACGAAACTAAAATCAGATTTCTATCAGAACATTCATTTCTTATTCAACAGTTTTACATATTTGTGGTAAATTTTTTGTTGAAAGAAATAGTGAGTATATCTAATCTTTATAATGTCAATTTCCACTGCAATATTTAAGTCCAACAATAACAAAAATAAAATAATAAAATCTAGCGTAACCACTTTTAAAATTCAACAGATGGCTTGGCAACAACTTTGGCTTAAAAACGTCCACGTAAAAAATAATTACTTGGATTACGTATGTATATAAAAACCAAAAATGTGCATTAATATTAATACTTATTATACAGGGTGTTTCAGAAATAAGTACCTAAATTTTAGATTACACTCGTAATTCAGAAAAGTCAGTAAGCCACGGTTCTGTTAGAATCATTTTTTCTTAATAAACAGTTCATATGCATCCGCCGTACTTGTGTCCAACAAGTCCATTACAAAATGTAGGATATTCCTATAGAGCATAATAGTAAAGCGTAATGCATAATAGTAAATTCAATAAATA